GTGTATATATCGTTTAATAATTTGTTTTGCATAAGTTCAGTGGACGCTTTTCTTGGCACCACATGTCTTAAGGTACGAAATATCCAATTTAATTTAGCAATTTGACTCTTCACAATAGAGTGCAGGGCCCCATTTACTCTATTTCCCGCATTCACTCGTCGTTCTATATCCTTATCATATCTCCCATCCCTGCTAAATACGCAGCCCAAATATACAAACTCATCTACTTGCTCGATCAACTCCCCTTCTATTCTTATTTCACAAATCGTTTTACTTTATTCTCTTTAAAAAACCATAACCTTCGTCTTACTTGCGTTCACTTTCATACCCCTTTCTTTTAATGATCTGTTCATTAATGTAACCATCATTTGCAACTCGGCCGCCGACGACGCAAGGATAATTTGACAAGCGTTTATGATATTAATGTTAAAAAAAAACCTTTTTAAATAATTTACCAACAGAACTTAATATTCGTGAAATAACAAAATATAATCACGAGCAATTTTGCCGAGTCCCAACTGTCCGGGCCTCATCTGCGAGCTGTCGCATGTCGCTCTCGGCCCGAACAAACATAAAAATTACATAATAGACGTTTATAGCGGGCGCATATCATGCTACATTATTCATGATGTAGTCTAGGGTTAGGCTGGGAGCCACACACGATCTAAATACATATAAACGCTCTTCAATACGGAATTCTTAAGTATTGTAAGGGTTTGTGTATGGCTGGCAATAAAATAATGTTTACTTAAAATATCTTTTTAAGGTATTTTTTATAATAATAACTCATTTTTAATTTATCCGTACAATGGGAGACTGTGATTTTTACCTCCTTTTTTATAGAATAAATATGGCATACGAGCGCACAGAACACCTTGGTAATCGATTTGTAATGTGTAATATGGCCCATAGATATCTATATCTACTCTCTCAATAGTAAAGTTATGAACTTCTTAAAGAATATATAATGTAAAAATTGATTAATTGAAATCGCTGTAAAATATTTTAAGCGATCAAAGAGCGAACTTTGACTTTATATGGAGACTTCTCAACTTCATTAAGAGGCCCAATTTTCGGGCCCGAATTCCATTCTATCGACAATTTCGAAGATTAAGAAACCGCTTCGGAGGGACGAGTGAAATAGAGGAGTCATATTTTAGGTTTGTTACATCATATTAAAATCCACTGCTGATTCTAGCTAATCCAAAGATTGCACTTATGAAAATTTTTAATGGCGAGTTGTATTTTTTTCAGCCGTCAATAGGAAAATTCAAATTATTTTTTAAATTCAAATTTATTTATTGCCAGAATGTAGTATATAATAATATGATGTGTTGTATCCTTTGTTTTGTTTACATTTCCCCCTGTGATTAGTGTATTAGATTCTTTACACTACTACACGCCCTATATTAGTTATATATTATTAACTGCCTCGTTGGTCTAGTGGTTGTAGTAGTGCGTCTGCTGATGATGAGGTGATGAGGTCCTGGGTTCGAATCCCGGGTTGGGCCAAAAAATTAATTATTGAGTTTTTCTGTCAAGAAATTCGCAGTAGCTGCCCGGAGTCAGGAAGTTGGCGTTGTCTCACCTCCTCCTGCGCCTCATCTCTCTCCGGTCGTGTCGGTTTACCGTCCCATCGGATTATGAGAGTGAGGGAATAGAGAGTGCACCTGTGCTTGCGCATACACTTGGGCACTATAATCCTGTCCTGCGCCGATGGCTAGCCTCCATTGAGGCTGGCCACCGTGGCCGAAATTATTATATACTATATTTGTAGTAAATATTTCAAATAATTCAAATTAACCTACCAAATAAATTGAGTCCTTTTCGAGCTTCGAGTAAATAAAAAAAAGCTGATGTCACAGTAAACGAGCAAACCGTGTCCAATCTCAGACGGCATCAGTGACATTGTGAATTGTAATTGTAAGTATCGATTTTCACGGGCTCAGTCATGAAGGAAGACTTGGTAAGGAAACCTACACGTCTGAGAAAGGCGTGCGGCGCAGCATCATAACCTTCTCAGAATAAATAGAGATGTGTAGTATTGTGAGCCCACCAAGTAGTGCGACGCATATTGTAACTTTAACTTTTATAATATGCAATCACTAATCTAAACGAATGTCATATCGTAGAAGCATCATCATCATCATTACAGCCCTTCACAAGTCCACTGCTGAACATAGGCCTCCCCCAAGTAATGCCACAAAGCACGATCCTGAGCCACTTGCATCCATCGACTTCCTGCATGTGTTACCAGGTCGTCACTCCATCTAGTGGGGGGTCGCAAAACACTACACCCAAGGGTATGAGGCTGCTACTCGAGAACTTTTATTCCCCATCGTTTGTCGGTTCTTCGAGCTATATGGCCGGCCCATTGTCAATGCCCAATATCAAAACACACATTAAGAATATGAATATGAGGACGCTCAAGGTCGCTCACCGAGCTATGGAGAGGGCTATGCTCGGAGTTTCTCTGCGTGATAGACTCAGAAATGAGGATATCCGCAGTAAAACCAGAGTGACCGACATAGCCCAAAGGATTAGTAAGCTGAAGTGGCAATGGGCCGGCCATATAGCTCGAGGAGCTGATAACCGATGGGAAAGAAAGTATCTCGAGTGACAGTCTCGTACCGGTAGGCATAGTGTAGGGCGACCCCCCACTAGATGGAGTGATGACCTGCTAAGACTTGCAGGAAGTCGATGGATGCAGGTGGCTCAGGACCGTCCTTTGTGGCATTACTTGGGGGAGGCCTATGTTAAGCAGTGGACTTGTGAAGGGCTGTAATGATGATGATGATTAAGAATATAGTATTTGGGTGCAAAATGTGGGCATCGATACATAAGGCTAGAAATAAAATAGAGAACTTCGAAATGATAGAATAATAAATAAACTGGATACACAGAAAGACTAATGAAGAGTTACTGGAATAGGTAAGAGAAAAAATATCAATACCTTCCACTGATTGAATACATGTACTCCATGGTTGGAGAGTTGCTGTGAGTCGACAATGTGAATAACAACATACTTGAAGGGAAGATAAAGGGAAAGCGAGCATGTAAATCACCAAAGAAACACATAAATCAGTTAAAATGGATAGCTAGTGGTATCATACAGCGAATTAAAAAGCTTGGCAGATAGGAAAATAGACTGGCAACTACTTCATCGACAAGAGCAAAGCTCTTAAATTATTCTTTATTTTATACTTATTTTATACGTAGTGGAATCATGCTACAGCTATATTATAGTCGCAGCACGAATGGATTGATTAGAAAGGGGAGGGACCACGTTCTTATAGAATATCAGCGTAAAATATCAGGTTAATGTTGCTGTTTCGTATGTTGAGTGTACAGAACCGAAGACTCTTTTTAATAAAGGATAGTCCTCAGGGGTGACACCGCACTTGCATTTTGATTCTTAATTGAATCCAGACGAAGATGTATATATATCACAGCACCCACTTACTTTCAGGTGGACTGTGTGCTCGTTTGTCAGTCTTATTATATAAAAATACCTTTATAAATTTTCTTACATTGGTGAAAGAGGCAAGCTTAACAGATGTTCGACGATCTATGAACTCGCAATTATTAAAATAAGAGGCAATTTGGCAAATAAAACACTCAATTTCGGAGTACCCTTTGATAAAAGTGAAATGCTGAATCCAATCTAAACTAATATACAGTCTTTATGCGACTTTAATTGTACCAAAAAGGGTCTATTTCGCTTAATGAAATTATACGACTCATATTATTCAGTTGTTAGTGGATGAGAGGGGCTTGGTTGGAGCGTTGGAAGGCCTGCTACGCAAAACACGACCTTGTTGAACAAAAAAACTCACGTTTTTGTTACCGCAGCAAAACCTGGTACAAGAAAGTATGCAGAAAGCCGAGCCTGCTTTATATTGTGTTGGTTATACGAGTAGGGCATTGTTACTTGTAAGTTGGTGCACATTTAATGCGACTTAGTCGCCGTTAAGAAACTTTTTCGAAATCTTACGAATTTTTAAGGGTGCAAGTTTTACTTGCTTGTACGTTTTAAAAAAGTTTTGTGCAGGATTTTTGTTATATGTATTTACTATGGTATATAATAATAGTAAGTTTTCCGTGTGGTGATAGCGTGAAAATTTTCATCTACCTCTACCACGTATAACCTATGTAACTATGGCAAATATTCCCTTTATGATATCTATAGGGGAGGCCTATGTTCAGCTGTAACGGAGCAATAACACAAACTCAGGACAAAGTGATAACTACGTCTATATTACTTTAAAAATTCCGTCCCCTATATGAAATTTTAATGAAAGCGCTATCGATTGTTTTCTAAAAGTTTAAATGTTACCAACATTGACTATTATTATTATTATTATTGTACACATAAAAAAGAATTGTTCATTCGTTTCATAATCGGCAAAGATATTACGTAACATACATCCAAAAATCCAGAGCCGTGGACTATCTAATACTATATAATAATATTATTTAATTATTTATCCACTTACTAAGGTGTAAGAATATTTACTACCCTATTTCATCCTGTGGGTGTCGTAAGAGGCGACAGAGAGAAACAAACCAGGAGATGGTCAGCAGCTTCTACTAATTATGACTAAAAATAAAAATAAACTGCGGTTGACAACCCGCAACCCAAAAGTCCAAACCTGGCAACTGCTGCAAATAGCAGCAGTGAGCTTTAATATGCTGTAACATAAAAACATTTATACAGTAAATTCGGGCAAAGGCACTACTTATTTTATATTTATTATATCGAAATATCTTCAAGTAGATCCATAGAGGAAAAACATAAAAAAAATACTTTATAAAGTTTTAATCATGTTAAGTTACTTTTAATAATTCGAACGTAAAGCTAATCGATTTGTAATGTGTTAACATATACCCATAACTAAAATACACTTAATTCCTTTCTAGGTGAGGCTGAGACGGCGTCCGGCTAATGGGGTACCCCGGGACTCACGTGATCCACTAATGCTTTTCGGCACGCAAGAAAAATGGAGAGGCGAGACGAATTGCATCGGCATTGTAGTGTCGCCAAGCAAACCATTTTAACAACTCATCCTAGCGGTCTTCAGACTAGAGTGTCTGTAGAACTGGCTAACTTCGACGCCCTCTGCCTACACTCCGAATGTAAGACCCCAGCGAAAAGACCGATATGGGAGAGCCCGTTTTTGAACCGGCGAGGCATTTTAGGTGGGGTCTCTGGCCATTCTACTCCCGTGCTCGGACGAAGGAGTGACGCGGTCAACGAAGGGAGGTTGTCGCAACAATGCACTCCTGTTATGAGGAGGAGGGAAGTGGATAGTCCCGGCGGGTCTCCTTTGCCCGTTAGGAGAGAACTGGAAGAGGAGGAGGGATTTGAAATTGATAACAGTGTCATCAGTGGCTGGTTGAAATTTCGAGACAACAAGCGGGTAAGTTAAACAGTCATTTTTATTTAGAAAAAGGAAAAACCTTTTAGAAGCTTTAGGAATGAAAACTTAAAATGCAGGAACGCTTTCAGTTCAGTTCAGTTCAGTTTCAGGGGTTTGCCGTTACATGTGACTTATGTGTAACTAAATGGTATAAAAAGCCGTCTGTATTCAATTATAACTTAAACTACCCGTTTTTAACTACTTGTTTTTACGGATTTTATCACGTTTAATAATTTATTTTACAGTCCCGACGTTTCGAGTACTTTACAGCACATCTTCATACATCATGAGCTGCAGCTAGCCGTAGTTAACTTTGATATTGACCTTCGGTTTAAACTGAAGGTAGCCGTGGTTAACTATGACATTGGGACGTCAAACAATTCAGTCCCCCCGTGGACACAGTTGCTATATAGTACTGTAAACGTCGGAAGTCAAGAGTATAAAATAAGATAATAAATGTGATAAAATCCATAAAAACTAGTTCCATTCAAATGTGTAGTGTTCGCTTAAACTTAAGTAACTACTTGATGGACTTTGATGCGGTTTTCTCTAAATATAGGATTTTCGGAGGAAAGTTTCCATGTCTGATACATACGTGTTTCATGAATGAAATATAGTAGAGAAATATTGGTGTTTTTTATCTAATTTGTGAAAGATTAACAAAACGCTGGTGAACAACAGCGTAGGTTAGGGTAACGATAGTACTACATAAATTCGCTACAATGTTCTGATATTATAACGGTTATTCCAAGACCTTCTTATTATCGGCTGAACCTTTAACATGGTATCATTATTTACATCATTATTTAAATTAGTAGTATATAAATTCGCTACAATGTTCTGATATTATAACGGTTATTCTAAGACCTTCTTATTATCGGCTGAACCTTTAACATGATATCATTATTTACATCATTATTTACATTAGTAGTATATAAATTCGCTACAATGTTCTGATATTATAACGGTTATTCTAAGACCTTCTTATTATCGGCTGAACCTTTAACATGGTATCATTATTTACATCATTATTTACATTAGTAGTATATAAATTCGCTACAATGTTCTGATATTATAACGGTTATTCTAAGACCTTCTTATTATCGGCTGAACCTTTAACATGGTATCATTATTTACATCATTATTTACATTAGTAGTATATAAATGCGCTACAATGTTCTGATATTATAACGGTTATTCTAAGACCTTCTTATTATCGGCTGAACCTTTAACATGGTATCATTATTTACATTAGTAGTATATAAATTCGCTACAATGTTCTGATATTATAACGGTTATTCTAAGACCTTCTTATTATCGGCTGAACCTTTAACATGGTATCATTATTTACATTAGTAGTATATAAATTCGCTACAATGTTCTGATATTATAACGGTTATTCTAAGACCTTCTTATAATCGGCTGAACCTTTAACATGGTATCATTATTTACATCATTATTTACATTAGTAGTATATAAATTCGCTACAATGTTCTGATATTATAACGGTTATTCTAAGACCTTCTTATTATCGGCTGAACCTTTAACATGGTATCATTATTTACATCATTATTTACATTAGTAGTATATAAATTCGCTACAATGTTCTGATATTATAACGGTTATTCTAAGACCTTCTTATTATCGGCTGAACCTTTAACATGATATCATTATTTACATCATTATTTACATTAGTAGTATATAAATTCGCTACAATGTTCTGATATTATAACGGTTATTCTAAGACCTTCTTATTATCGGCTGAACCTTTAACATGGTATCATTATTTACATCATTATTTACATTAGTAGTATATAAATTCGCTACAATGTTCTGATATTATAACGGTTATTCTAAGACCTTCTTATTATCGGCTGAACCTTTAACATGGTATCATTATTTACATTAGTAGTATATAAATTCGCTACAATGTTCTGATATTATAACGGTTATTCTAAGACCTTCTTATTATCGGCTGAACCTTTAACATGGTATCATTATTTACATCATTATTTACATTAGTAGTATATAAATTCGCTACAATGTTCTGATATTATAACGGTTATTCTAAGACCTTCTTATTATCGGCTGAACCTTTAACATGGTATCATTATTTACATTAGTAGTATATAAATTCGCTACAATGTTCTGATATTATAACGGTTATTCTAAGACCTTCTTATTATCGGCTGAACCTTTAACATGGTATCATTATTTACATCATTATTTACATTAGTAGTATATAAATTCGCTACAATGTTCTGATATTATAACGGTTATTCTAAGACCTTCTTATTATCGGCTGAACCTTTAACATGGTATCATTATTTACATCATTATTTACATTAGTAGTATATAAATTCGCTACAATGTTCTGATATTATAACGGTTATTCTAAGACCTTCTTATTATCGGCTGAACCTTTAACATGGTATCATTATTTACATTAGTAGTATATAAATTCGCTACAATGTTCTGATATTATAACGGTTATTCTAAGACCTTCTTATTATCGGCTGAACCTTTAACATGGTATCATTATTTACATCATTATTTACATTAGTAGTATATAAATTCGCTACAATGTTCTGATATTATAACGGTTATTCTAAGACCTTCTTATTATCGGCTGAACCTTTAACATGGTATCATTATTTACATTAGTAGTATATAAATTCGCTACAATGTTCTGATATTATAACGGTTATTCTAAGACCTTCTTATTATCGGCTGAACCTTTAACATGGTATCATTATTGTCTAGCTGCAGGATAACGTTACGAAGTTATGCTCACGTAAGTCATTCCTACTGAAGTAACGGCTCTGTAGCGGAATTGCTTAGTATTTAGTTATGGCGCTGAGGGCCGCAGGTTCGAATCCCGCAGGGAAAAGGTAATTGCATGACTTACAGATATTCGAAATTAAAGAGATTTTGGGTCTAAATGTTTGTCGTCGTGCAATTTATGTATGTAAACTGCTTCTACAATGCGGGATAAAATCCTAATTTGTGAGTAACGTTGAAAGAATAAGAATATGTATATACATATGTGTAAAAACTATGCGGTTCGCTTGGGAAAGCGCGACTCACAATGAAAATTTTAAAACATTGAAATCAATAAATGCATAGCTATTTTTAAGCACCTTTATTGTAAAACGATAATTAATTTTTTATTACAAGCATATCCAAAAACATACAAAACAATGGCATGGCATGTCACCGTTCATTCCCTTTAACACCGCCTAAAGAAAAACTTTAAAGAGTTGGCGAGATGTCACCTTCGACTGGTTATCCAAAAAATATGAGGACTAACTAAAATATAATGAACTGCCTGAATCCTTTAGTACGAAAGGAACTTAGGTAACACAGAAGAGGTATGAAGGTATAAGAAGTAGACTCGAGGGCGTGACGAGAGGCGGTAGTGCGCCCGCAACTGGGCTAAGGGCTTTTCACCTTACATCCTTAGTGATGTCCTTGCAATAGTTATATTATTTAGCCTTATCGATAGGTTATTTTGTTCTAAACAGATTTTTTTCAAATTAAAATTTCGTTACGGAATTTTGTGCATTTAAAGAGAAATATTTATGTGTGTTTTTAACTTGAATGAGAAATTAATTTACAGTAAATCTTGTAGTGCCTTTTGTATAAGATAGAGTGACAAACGAGCACACAGTGCACCTGATTGTAAGTGGTTGCTGTGGCCCATAGACATCTACATCTATCTTCGATTACCAATCAAAATGCAGATGCGTTGTCACCCCTGAGGACTAAAATGGAATGCTTCATTCCCAGTAAAAAGGATATCCGGTTCTCTACACTCACAACAGCGTTAAGGTATAGCACCACGCTTCACGCTGGTGTTCTGTGAGAGCATGGTCCCCGGTCGGGCCGACCCGCTAGTGCTACAAATATAATACTAATATAGCTGCAGAATGGCTATATTACTAAAGAATAGGCTACGGTAGTCCATGGACACCTATATCAAGCTTCAAAGAAAGAAGGCCACTGATGCGCTGTCATCTTTTCATACCGATTCAATTGTTTCGGACGGCAGGGACACGTCCAGTGCCCGCACAGTCGCCCTGGGACAATCTCCCGCTTAAGTGACGTACGCTCCTTACTAATCGCTGGTGACGCACGTCCCACGCACCCCTGAATGCGTATGTATTAGCACGACCCTACTAGGACCTCGAGAGTGAGGCGAGTAGCCGGAAGGAGGCAAAATTAAAACACTTTTTCTGGGTAGCTTCTTGTTCCGCAGGTTTCGGCTTCCCTTTTTTCCTTTGTTGTTGTCTCTTCGACGGCTGTGCTGCGACTGATTTCATCAATTGAGCGGAAATATGGAATACTTCTCAGCCTGTTAGTATACTGGCTCTCGATACCCTTCATACCGGAATAAAGCAGTGCACGCATTGCTGCTTGGTGAAGGACATACGAGAGATGAGAGGATGGTACCAACCCAGACGAACTCCTAGGCAGAAAAGTCAAAGTGACGACTTAATTTCAATTTAGGTTTGTTTAATACCTCTTGAAGCCGTGGTAGCTCAGATGGTTAGCGCTCGCTGCAAAGTCACATTACGCAAGCACATCAGCTTCGTTCCCCGCCTGTACAAATTAAATTATTAATTGCAATTTTAAGTTCTGATTTACCACATTCTCGGCGGTGAAGGAAAACATATTATAATAAAAAAATATTTCGAAGACGTGAAGTTCGCCAACGCGCATTAGGGCAGCGTGGCGGACACTTTCTTTCCCTAAAACCCTCTCAGAAATGACAGTAGGCCTGTGCCCAGCAATGGGATACATATAGGCTGTAACTTTAACTTTAACTTTTAATAGCACTTATTAACGTCAGAATTTACACCGGTTCGCAAAAACAAGACCTTAATAGAAGAGAACTGGCGAAAACTTTAGGGTGTTCTTTTCTTAAAACCATTTATGAGTAAAAAGTACTACCACCTATTAGTAGCAGAATATATTATAAGAATATAATATAGGAATATCTATCAACA